TGAGCAAAGGGCTGAGTGGGGTTAAACCTCAGTGCTGCTGCACTGCCTGACATCAGAGCTGTTCCCAGGAAGACCTCAGCATGGACTGGGGCTCAAAAAGGGCTCCAAGATTTATTGCAGAGCAGTGGGAAGCAGCCAGGCCAAAGCTGCTCTCCAGTGCTATTTATATTGTGCACTTTGGCTGCAGGAGGACAGAAGCTGGAACCTGCTCTCAGGGGGAGCTGAAGGAGTGGTGAGCTCAGCACAGAGCTTCACCCCAAGCACCCACCTTGGCCCAGCACAGGGCAGGCTGACTGGGGACAGCCAGAGGAGCCACAGCACAAAGGAGCTGTCAGCTACTGCCACCTGCAAGAGCCATCAACAAAGAGGAACTTGGCAGAAAGGCTTAAAAATCAGTCCCAGAGAGAGTTTTGTTACAGGTCATGAATGCTCAGTATGACAATGGCAAGCTGAGTGCTGTGACAGTATTTAGCCTGGGAAAAGGCTTTTCCTTCTATGCTTCTATTCACCCAAAGCCTCCAGGGTCACTCAAATACAGACTGGAAACTATGAGTTTCCACCTGGCCCCAGGCAGCCTGTGAGTGCCCAGCTGAGCACTTGGGCCAGGGCTGAGTGTGCACAGACCTCTAACCCTCACGTGTTTGGGGTGAGGGCCTGGCTGTGTGGCTGCAGCAGATACAGCTGTGACCAAAAATCCTTCACTGCAGAAACACGTGGCACCATCCAGAACACCTCTGCCTCCATCTATTCCTGGAAACCAGCACCAGTCCCGGCGACAGCAGTGTCTGAATTTCCTCACTGGCAACAACTCTCTGACATCACTCAGACTGTCAATAAAACAACCTCCTGCTCTGCCTGTTTGAGGACTTGACTTGTCTTTTTTTTGTGTTCTTTTACTATTTTTCAAAAATAGTAAATATTAAATTAAAAACAGACAAGATAAAGGCAACAGAAGAAAAGGCAGAGCAAGGCTCCTGCACAGCAATGTGAGTGCCAGTACAGACAGCACAGCCTACAGGAGAGCCTGGCACAGCTGGGAGCAGTGCATAGCTGGAAGTGAAGCTGCAGCTCAGTCTTTCACCCCAACAAGGACTGGAATGAATTGCACACACAGCAACCACCCAGGCTGCCACTGCAAGGATTGACCATGAGCTCACACTACGTTCCAGCCTACACTGCCCTGTGAGAGCCACCTGGGGATGGGTGTCAGGGCTCTGTGTGCCCCTGCCAGGGCTGCCTGACCCTCAGCACAGGCCTCAGCTGAGCAAGGGGCCAGGGTTGTTTGCACAGGGTTGTCTTGGTTAGGAGGAGCTTGGCTGGTGTCTAACTTAAAGCTTTACAATGAGAATAATTATCTGGAAAAACTTCCACTTCAGTTTACAATTAAATCACTTACCTGGCTCCTCCCTGCTGGTGACTCCCTGCCTCTAGGAGGAGGCAAGCAGAAGTCAGGGCTGCTCTTACCTGCTCCTTTGCTTCCTCTTGCTTTTCTCCTCCCAGGGTGACAGCCCTGGCAGATGGCTGAAGGACCACACACAATCTGTCACAAGTAATCTCTCCTCTCTGCAGGCAGATGTGGGTTTATAATTACTCCAACATTATCATTATTTGCCTCACGCTGCCCAAAATGTCAATAACTGGATGCTAAAGTACTTGTGCAGTTGGAAAATGTTTCTGCTGCCCAAGCCCAAGGGCAAGGCTGTCCTGGAGCTGCCAACATCCCAAGTGCATGTTCCCAGGCAAGTCCAATGGTGCTAAGAAAAAAAAAGGACTGGGTAAGAGCAGCTTTTCTCTTCAGGAGCTTCCACGCACTGAAGCAGCATCTGGGGCTGAGGCAGGAAGTCAAAGAAAGGTAAACAGTGAAATAAATGAAAACAGAGGAGTGCAGGGGAAAAAAAAAAAACCTCAGATAAATTATGTGTCAAACCTTCTGAGACATGAGGGAGGGAGAAAGCTTATCTGTAAAGAAAAGGGAGTTGAAAACAAGGGCAGACCCAAATCGTGTGAGCATTAGTTTGCATCAGCCTCTAAGTTGGTGCTCTCTGGTCCAACAGCTACAAAGAGTAAAGGTCTGTAAAGAAAAGGGAGTTGAAAACACAGGCAGACTCAAACTGTGTGAGCATTAGTTTGCATCAGCCTCTAAGTTGGTGCTCTCTGGTCCAACAGCTACAAAGAGTAAAGGCTATACAGATTACTAAAAAAATGATACTTTATTTTAAATGCAGCTACTGTCATGAGTCATCAAAATAGACTTTGCAATAGTTACTTTGTTTTAAATATGAGGTGACGAATGACAGCAAAGATTTTAAACTACATAAAATGTCCTAAAATTGCAAATTAAAAGAACTAAATTTAAATATTACAAATGACAATTTTCAGAGGATAAAAGGGAATAAAAATATTTTCCAGAAAAAGTAAAATAATTTGGCCAGTAAAACCATACTAGAAACGCAAATTATCGAGATACTGCACATGAAATACTTGAGGAGAACTTCTTTCTGTCATTGTCATTTAAAATCCACAAAGCTAAAATCTCACCATTTCAATTACATTGCGCTAATGATTTCTCTTACTCAAAACCAGTCCAACAATCCAGGATCATCCAAGGAACTGATGATAAATTGCACTTCAACGTGTTGTTCTGCAGTGGGGCTGCTGCTGTCACTGCTGCCAGGGACCAGTGACCACCTGGACCTTTCCACACACACAGCTCTTCTGGGCAGGGATTCCCAACAGGTCCGTGCGATGGTTGTGTTGGATGTCACGGCCAAGGGCTCCGCACAAAGCCTCCAGAATGACTTCAGATCATGGCTGAAGGGGAATCAGGTCTTGGCTTAACTCTTCTCAGCCACATCCTCACTGTCTCAGCTCTCAAAATGCCACTGCTGAGGAAGGGACCCATCACAGATGGCCATGGTCACATACCCTTTGTGGCTCAGTGGATCCACCACCTTCAGGCACTGCCCCACGGAGACCTGGTACAGGCGGTTGCTTTTCTACATGAGACAAAGACAGATGGGATTTATTTACTAAAACTTCTGCCCTCCATTGTCAAACTGAAGCTGAAGGCGATGCTTCAGGGGAGGGAATGCTCCTTCCTGACAGATGAGCCTTTCAGCAGCCTCCCTGACACACCAGACCCACAGCAGCACCAGAGCACAGCACACCCCATAACCACATTTGGACTTTGAAACAAAGTCTCTCATGCCCTTACAGGAACCCAGTTGGGATTTTGTTTGTACCACACTCTCTCAAAGAGATGGAGAGATCATCTAACCCATTCCCCAGCACGCAGACAAGAGGGAGCCCACAAATCTACAGTGGGGCACAGACAGGTCACAGAATCCTGGAATGGTTTGGGTTGAAAGGGACCTTAAAGATCATTTAGTTTCAACCCCTTTGCCATAGGTACGAACACCTTCCACTAGCCCAGGTTGCTCAAAGCCCCATCCAACCTGGCCTTGAACACTCCCAGGGATGGGGCATCCACAGCTTCTCCAGGCAACCTGTGCCAGTGCCTCACCACCCTCACAGGAAAGAATTTCTTCCTAGTATCTAATCTAAACCTATTCTCTGCCAGTTTAAAGCCATTCTCCTTTGTCCTATCACTACATGCCCATGTTAGAAGTCCCTCTCCTGCTCTCTTGTAGTCCCTTTAGGCACTGGAAGGCTGTTTTAAGGTCTCCCCAGAGCCTTCTCTTCTCCAGGCTGAACAGAGATCCCTGTTCTGCATCTGACGAAGCAATATCACTGCCCTCAGCACCCACATGCTGGGGAGTTGCCACATGTTGTGACAAATCTGTCATGTATGGTGGGTGCCCATAGCTAGGGCAAGGCCAAATCCCAGTCAAGAGTGAGAAGAAAACAGATTCTACCCTCTCTGTCCCCAGAGGAACCTGCCGTCTCCTCTACTAATAGCATGTTGAAGCTGCTTTAGGACTTTGGGAGCCTCTGGTCTGTCTGGAAAGGGCTCTCTGCACAGCCCCAGCAGCTCCCATGGGCAGCAACCTCCTGCTCTCCTGCACAGAGGGAACAGATACATGAGAAGAGCTGCACAAGGCTCTGTCACTGCTTCATGGCCATAAGCAGATGTCCAGTGAAGCAGGAGAACATGGCAAGAATATACAATACTCCTCCGCAATATTCCCCACGTCAAGTCTTGTGCTTGAACTGGCAACACACAGCTGGTCTTTGTACCAGCAACTCACGTCCCAGTGTATTTCCCCCTGTTCCAGAAGATTTGGAAGTGCAGTTGGCAGTGCTGGTAAAGCCCTCCCTTCTCTTTGTTCAACCATGATTGTGCTACAGACTCACTGCTACTCTGAGTGAATCCCCAGGAGACAAATTCCATGTGTGAGCAGCACTGGCTTAGTTTTGTGAAATTGGCCACTCCAGACTCTAACAATTAAACTAATGAGTTGCAATTACAGGGCAGAAGCAACTGCTCTGCCCTGTGCTTCTTCAAGCACTAAGCAGGAAACACCACATGGACTCCTCCCATCTCCCACTCCTGCAAAAACAACACAACAAAGCTGTGGGGTGGATTTTGTTCTCTCTGGCACACCCTGGATGAGCCACAGGGCTGCCCTGTGATGGGCAGAAGAAAGGCTCAGTGGAGCTGCAGAAACCTTCCTAAGTGGCAAAAGGCTGCATGTCCCAGAGCTCAGCAAAAGCCTTGTTTGGGCTGAAAAGCAGTCACCAAAGTCTGTGCAACTTTGCTAAAGGCTGCTCAGACTGTGGGCTGGGCCTGGTACAGTACAATTGCCTTGATACATCTGAGGTTTAGTCACAATTAAACCCAACCCTGACGTCCTGTAAGTGCCATTGCCACCTACTAAGACATTAATTACAAGCCATGTGCTGCATGGCAGCCCCCCTGCTTACCCCAAATGTCCACTGCTGCGAGCCACCAGATCCATGGCATTTCATCAGACGAGGGGGATCAGACGAGCGAGTTTCCAAAACGTCCAAGCACAGCAGATTGTTTAAAATCAGCTCATGATCCTCATTGTAAATCCAGACCTGAAAGAGGAGACAGAAAGACATTTATCCCTATGTTTCATGCCAGGTACCTTGAATCTTCTGTTCAGCTACCGAGGTGCTTCACCATCTTCTGATGTCGCAGTTGTGCCGTGCGGCACTTGCTGCCTCTTTGTTGCCTTCTTCCAGCAACCAAAACTGAGCTGCAATGCCCTATTGCCTTCCCAACATCACACAGCATTGCCCCATGCAGAGGCATTGGAGGGACCAGCTGTGATTCTGCTCTATAAATAGCATTTTTAAAATTAAGCAGCCCCCACATGTCCCTTCTGTCCAGGCAGCTGGACAAGGTAACACAGCAGGCAAGCAGTGGATCTCCAGGCAGAGGACCAGCCACTCTCCAAGTGAAGTCTTTAAGCAAGGCAGTAAATCTCCTTATCCAAAGATTATCCTTCTCTGCTCCACAGCCAAACTGCTTTTGCTACCTGTGCCATGCCTAGAGGGAGACAACCCCTCCCCATTTCACATCCACTTTGTCTTGGCTGAACTGCCATGAAAATGTCTTGATCTGGACCTCAGGAAGCTACACAACATCCCAGCAGCTCAGAGAGTGGTGGCAATTGAATGCAGCTCCTCTATCCAAAGATTATCCTTCTCTGCTCCACAGCCAAACTGCTTTTGCTACCTGTGCCATGCCTAGAGGGAGACAACCCCTCCCCATTTCACATCCACTTTGTCTTGGCTGAACTGCCATGAAAATGTCTTGATCTGGACCTCAGGAAGCTACACAACATCCCAGCAGCTCAGAGAGTGGTGGCAATTGAATGCAGCTCCTCTCTACACCCATATTTAATGCCCTGGTTCACACTTGCAGCTTTAACTGCATTTGGGTTCCTGAATTAATGTGACATTTTAAGACTTTCTCTATGAATACACTGAAAACCATGGCCAGCTCTAGCAAGCAGCAAGGACACACTGGAGCTATTAGTTTGTCCTCTCCCACATGCTGCTTGAGCTGAAATAGGTACTTTTATTGTTGGCATAGAAAAGTGTCATGCACCTTCAGTGGCAGCACTTCATGTCCACACCCTGCTGGCTCTCAGGGGGCTGCCTAAACCTTGCTTTGAGCAAGGCACATCTGGCACAGCTAAATGTTCAGGGAAGCTGGAACACCAGCCTGGTCTAACTGCAGGAGCTGTTGGTCATCCCTCCCTCATTCATTTCCTTCAGGCCTGCAAAGACTTGGGCCAAGGTCAGTTCAGTGGAGGACCTGAACTTCTTCTCATAACCAACAGGAGACTCTGCCCCCCATGCCAGAAATCAAAGAAATGAAGGAGCTTGGGTGCATGCACCTCAAAATATTCTGGGTTACAAAGGGGTAGGGAAAAGGAGAAGAAAGTATATGGAAACTAGAGCTGTGCAGCACAGGGAAGATACTGGGGCTATCTGGACAAACACCCAAGGACTGCTATTCCAAAAGCATGGCAAGGCCCCAGTGTTCCCAGGGCACCTGGACAGCACTTCCCAACCTCTCTGGATGCAGAGCAAGGCAACAGCACAGCTGGTCAGACTTCCTGCTCTGCTGCCATTCCCAGATCCTTCCCAGGCTGGTGTGTGCAAGGAGAATCCCTGCTCACCCACCTCACTTGCCAGTTCAGCTCCCTTCCCCCTGACTTCTGACCCTGTGGCCAAGAGGAGCTGAGCCCCTCACACCTGTGCCTGAAGCACCTGTACCTACAGCCCTGCTAAGCTCTTCTGGTGTGCTCTTCTTCCAGCCCTGCTCCCACTTCTCACAGCTCAGTGCTGCAGTAACCATGCCACTGCCTGAGCTGGATTTTTCCCACTAAGTCTGCATGAGTTTCACACTCGGAGTATGGAATATCAAATTCCAGGCAGAAAAGACAGGGAAATAAATTCTGATTTGTCTCTTGTTTGGTGTTTTTTGGCTGGTAAAACTAAAACCAGCCTTCTGGAGGGCCCTGGGATTCAGGATGTGGCCTCAGCTGGACAGCAGGACTGAAGAGCACAGTTCATTATCACAGTGACTATTACAGCACAGCAAAGGAATTGCAGGTATTACACTAAAACTTGCTCTAACCTCAGGCATTCTGTGCCTTCTGACATACTTTTTTTTTTCTGTTTAAACTCTGTCATGAGAAAGTACAGCAAGTTTAAAGAGGAGGAGAGAATGGAGAAATTGCAAGACTTGCCAGAAGAATATTACTATTAAAAGAAGAATAATGATGGAGCCAAATCCAAACAAGAGATGCACTGGTAAAAATGGAGAGAGAAGGCTGCAGTGACACACTGAACAGATCTTTAATCAATAGCTGAGTAATGGCAAAGAACACAAAACAGTGGTTAAATCCAGTGTGATACTTCTCCAGAAAGGCTTATACAAGACAGCCAAAATTAATTTCAAACTAATTATGTGTTTGGTGTAGAAAACAAAGGAGGGGGGAGGGGAAATAGGCCCAAATTTGGTTCCAAATTCAGATGAGAGTATCACTATGAACTGGCAGATTATTCACAGATTCAACCACGAGGACAGCAAAGCCACCCCATGGGGTTTCTTTGTTATACAACTGCAAACCTTTGCATATTCCAAACATTATTAACTACTCCACTGCTGAAGGACACTTAGCTCTTGTTAAAGGCTGTCCAGGAGCAACTGCCTCATACAGGAAAGAAACTCCTGGCAGGCAGCACAATATCACAAAAGTCTGTAAGCAGAAAGGTGCCTGCCTAGGATTCTCATCTCAGTTCTGAGAGGTGGTTTATCCTTCTATGTATTTTCCACAAAAAATGCTGTATTTTAAATTTAATTTATTTTTTAGAAAGAGGTAACAGACAGATGCAGGATATTTTCATCCCACATGCACTTCCTAGTTAGCAGAGTTAGGAGAACATCACTGTCAGATTTCTCTTTTTAAAACTGGAATTGTGCCCAGCTCCCACCACACAGGAAAGCAGCACCTTTAATTGCTGTCCCCCAGAGACACATGGCAATGACTGATTTGCTCCACAGACTTTGAGGAAAATCACCAGCCATTTTCACTGATGTCAAAGGAAAACAACAGGATACAATCAGAATATAATGAATTGTTTCTGCTTTCAGGTAAAACCTACATGGGAGATGTTATGGAAAAAATTCTCTCCGTAATTCAATTGTTCATGTTTGTGGTTAAATGAATGATTTCATTTGGTGAATGCTGTAGCACTGGCCTCTTTCTAGCAGCTTTTTTCCCCTGCCTCTCAACACAGGCAACAGGATATGAGATGGTGCTCTCAGTCTCAGAGAGCAGTGGCCCATGTAGCTGCTGACTGACCCTCGTGAGATCCTACATGTCTGCAGAGCCCTTAGACACCTTCCCTCAAGCTAGACATTTGAGATGTGGCAGTGCTCAGATGCTGCTCAAGCCCCTCACAAGTATCAATGCCTGACCTATGGCTGGAGGGGCCACTTTCCCATAGTGGAAATGGGATCCACAGCTCTGGAGTAATTGTTCTCACTGCTACGGCAAAGCCGGCACATGTGGATCCTTCTGGTCACCTACAGACAAGTGCACAGCACATGCTAGAGTAGGTCTCATGGATAAAATAAATGGGAGGAGATCCAAAGTATGAGCTCTGTTAGTCTAAACATCTTTTACACAGGTGCAGCTTAGGAAGAACTGGATGTTTAATTCAGTCCCCTAAAAGGTAGTTCAGACTATTTACAGATTTAAGCCTGAGGTTGCCTAGGGCTTCTAGTACCTTCAGGACTTTAGTTCACCCCCATATAACTCAAACAAATCACACAGCCTTCTCCTGGACTGATTGCCAAGATGCCTTCATTAACCTCATTTCCATACAGACAGGTGGGTAGAAACAAGAGCTTCTCCCCACATTCAGCCTGAACAGTTTCAGTGATGACCACAGCTGAACTCCTTGGAAGCACAACAGTGTGACAGTGCTGAAGAAAGACCAGAGAGTGGAGCTTTTTCACTCTCATTTTACTCATATTTGGGTTTCCAAACTGGTTTCAGGTTGCCACTGTTGGTAAAGGAGACATGCCCTTCACTCCTTCCATAAACCTCTATATCCCAGTGAACCCCTTCTGGCATTATTTTTACCATGATAAAGAGATACAAGGTTGTGTTATTGAATTGTTTTGGGATTTTAATTTTTTGGGGGGTGTTTTGTTGTTGAAATTATTCCTACAGGGAGATTAATGTAAATAGGTGAGAGCTACCTGAAGTACTTCAGAAGAAATTCAAGTGAGGATGGGGTTCAGATGGTGCCTCAGCATCTCAGACAACAGCCCATACTACCATTTCCTTTTGAAAAATGGAGTTACCTACAGAAGACTTTGAGACCACTGTCAGGACAGGCAACAAGTATTAAAACAAAACCTGACACCTGACCTAGAGAAAAACACTAGGTCAAAGAATCCACAGTCAGCAGAAAAGGGAAGCTCACCATTCCTCAAAATGGTATGAAATAAACCAGGAAGCATCCGCCTCCCTTTGGCTTTCAGAGTGCAGTGGAGTGCAGCAAAAGGCAAGGATGGCCAGCTGGCAAGGATTTGTGGATACACACTTTTATTTGGTCTGCAAATTGCATTAGCACTAGAGGAATTCACTGAAACTTTTCAGTAAATACAAGACAGTAACTACTACAGAAACAACCCTTTGTTTGAGAGACAATCCCTGCAGCGAACCATGCTGAATTCCAGCACTTCCACCAGTTACAGTCTGTTGCTTGGCTTGGCACTACTGCATTATTCTGTCAGACAGTTTGTAAAAGACAAAAAATTCAGCTTAAGAGCACAAAAAAAGTTGCCTCAGCCCTGAGGAAGAGATGTGTCCAGCAATTTGCATCATCACAGCTATTTACATATACTTCAGCTCCCGTTATTACGGACAGCACCAAATGGCTTGTGAAAAATCAGCAGAAATAGACAAGATTGGTGGTCTGTAATAATTATTTTAAGCTACTGCTACCCTGAAAACCCCACCAGCCTCCTGAAAGTTGTTCCACAGCAGATCCATGCCTTCTGTTCTGCAGTTCAGTGTGTCACCGATGTTCCCCAGCAATTGTTAGAGGGTCTAAAGAGTTGTTCATTAGTTTATGGGAAAGCAGCTAAGCAGACTGAATTTGGACATCCTCACACACTCCAGGCATGTGTTGTATCAGGAAAGCAAACTGAGTTTAGGGAGAAAGATCTTATGGAAGAATTGCACATTGAAGCAAATCCTTCTGGTCTCAGACTCTTGAACAGTTTGTAAATACATGTTTTTACATTTATCAAGTGCTACAAGAGTCTTCACAGAGCTTTTCTGAAATTTTTTGCTCAAGTAAGTAGTTTTCTAAAGGTCCAGAGCACAGATACATATGCTTAGACACCTTAGCACCATCCCAGCTGGAATGGCAACAGTCACATTTTTGAAGAATAATGTACTGCTAAGTAAGAAAAAGGATAAATTATTGAAATGAAGTGTAAACACAGAAGAGAGGTTATAAGACAGCAAGCAAAGCTTAAGAGTCAACCTGTCTTATCTGAGAAACAGCAGAAAAAATCCACATAATCCAGTGAACTTGAGGAGACTTTTTGGAACAGGAACTTGGCTTTAGGCATTTCAGTCGGGACAGCAGCAAGCACACATCAGCTACATGAAAAGTCCAATCTTCTTTAGGTCACAAACACTCCCATTAGTTAGTCCTATGATGGCCATTGTGCTTCACTCCAAACCCTTTGTTTTCAGTGTTCTCTGATGCTTCTCTTCCAAGTTCGTCAGTAAGTATTTCTACTCCTCCTCCTTTAGGGCAGCCTGTGTTGGCATCCTTGACTCCTAATCATCACCCCATTAACCTTGGTATGATGATGCTGGGTAGAATCTACAACAGTTTCTTCTTTCCTCTTTGACACCTCCCGGCTTTCATGATGACCTTTCAACATGCTTAAGTATTTTCTACCCTCCTTCAACACTAAACTTTGTGGTGTGCACTGCCTTCTGCATTCTCAGTTCTGCTTCCAGAAAGAAAGAGGTCAGACACTACTGCATTTCAGAAGTGTTTACTTTGGCAGCCTTGGCAGTTCTTTCATGTGACCACTCTTCAACTACAAAGTTTCTCATTCCACATTACTCTTCTGTTTGTGAAATTCACAATCTATTTTTCTGCTTCTTCTGTTACTTCAGGCCTGTGTTCTGTAAGATCCTCTCACCTCTTCTACTTGTGCTGTTTCCAACTACAATACTTATTCCTAAATCTGTGTTCAGTCCCCAGTATTGTCCCAGATCAAGTATTTGTGTTACTTAATGAGGCACCCTGCTTTTCATTCTAACTTGGAAAAAGACACAATGAAAAAAAATATTTTCTTGATGCATCACCAGTGTGCACTACCCTCATTGATCTTTCTTTCTATAGCAAAGAGGTGACCTGAATGTCCCTGTCATGTCAAGCCCTAGAAAACAGGATGTGCTTGACTTGTTTTCAACTTTTCTTAATGATGTCAACTTCATTAAAAAGTATCACCTATCCTGCTGAGACAATTGAAACTTACATAACACCTATTACCTCTTTTAAATCCAGGAGTTAAGTGAGAATTTGAAATCCCATAGCAGCCATGAAGGCGTAAATTAAAAGGCAGCACAGACTTGCTTGTAAGGCCAATCTTATGACTTCAGAGAGTCTGGTCAGCTCCCACATGCATCAATTGTCTATATTACACAGGCAACTATTTTTCAGCCAAAAGATTACACAGAAGATCATTTTCCAACCAAAAGAACTGCAACCACTGAGTCCTAAGGCAGCCCAGTTTTGTTTTTCCAGCCTTTTGCATGTTTTCCCAGGTAGATGAACCTTGTTCCTTCAACTCACTAAGCAGTAGCATGAATTTTTTAAGGTAGAGTGTTAACCTATTCACTTGGCTAAAGCAGCCTGGAAAGAGGTAAACAGTGATAACTTATACCTGTTCCTAAGGAAAAAATTAGCAGGCATCAAATGCAATCACATCAAACTGTTTCCACAGAAAGCACAGCTAAGCTGTAGTACTCACAGCCATGAGATGCCAAAAGCTTACATGAGGTAAAAGTACAATTAGGCACTCATGAAAAAGCAAAAATTCTACACAAACACCATCTTGCCTCAGAACATCACTAAACAAAGTCACAAGAATACTGTTCACAAAGTGCAGGTTGTCACCTCCAAGGGTAATTGCCCCACTGTGTGCATTAGGCAACACACACTGAACTTGCTGGCACTGACATCCAGGGGACTGGAGAGCTGGGTACCTGCACTCAGAGCCAACACAGGCCTTCTTGTTAGGAAAAAGGCATAAACCAGGCAGTTTAGGGCAAAAAAGAGCTGAGAATGCCAATGGGTTGAGTGTTACCAGAAATAACAGCTAAAAGCTTCCAACAGTCAGGAATTTTCTTGCTATTTTTATAAGCAGAAGCTGTAAATAGGAGTTGTCTTTCTCTATGTTGTTCTCACGTATCTATAGCAAGACTGTCCAAGGGGATATGACAGAAAGCTGCTGAGTGCACTCTTGGGATTTATTAGGAGCACAAAATAAGCCTAATGGCAGAAAAACATACTGCTGGTTGACATACTTGGTTGGAGAACAAAATCATTGTGAAAGAAGATAGCACAGCCAGTTTTTTTATGAGAACTAGTTGCTAAATTTACCACTGGTAAACTAGATCCATCCATGAGAAAAGAAGCCAAAGATCAACGATCAGAGCACTAATTTGTCTTTCTCAGCACCAAAAGGCTAACTGAAGTTTGTCCTACTGGATACAAATAGACAAAGACTTTGATAAGGAAAAACAACAGACTTTCTCCTTCAGTCATGGATCCTCACTATGAAAAATACTGCAGGAAGAAGAAGGGAAACATAACTGTGTGGACATCATCCACAGGCAGTCATTTTTGCTTTCTCACTCACAGACTGAATGGCTCAAAAAGCAGCACTGCAGCTTTGGCACTGTAAATGTACAATCACTGGTGTCCATCAGTTACTACTGCATTTACACAGCCTTTATATTTACAAGTCTCGCTGTCTTACAGCTAAAGGAAGAAATCACATAGGAAAACCTTTATTTCACCTTTAATTTATTCACATCTAACACAGGGATTTGGTCAGAATGATGATTATCCAGTGCTCCAGAGGGGAAGTTCAGGGATGTATTGCTTGCCCCTGTCTGACAACTGGAGGCCACGTAACTAGAGCCAACCCACACTTATCTAGACACTGGCAAACAGTTCTCACACTGTCTTCCTCTGTCACACTCAACTGAGGAGGCCACAAGTAGGAGGCAGAAAGTCCCATTAGCTGACAAAGCACACAGCATTTTGGTGAGATCATCACAAAACACTCTGCTTTTAGTGCTGCACCTTCCACATCCTGAAAACTACATCCATGTCACAGTTCCAAGTTAGTCTAGTACAACCCACTTCTAATAAAGCTATGCTACATTACATCCCATGCTCCATTTATTTTGTGCCTTTGATTACTTTTCTCTTAAGAGGTGATCAAGCTTTTAGACTTGAGTTCCACAGGGTCCTAAATCATAATGTTCACAGTGTAGTTCTCAGCTAGGTAAAAGTCTTTATGGCATTATGTGAAGATCTCTCTACCCTGGAGATTGTTTATCCAAGTCCCAAATTTCTGTCACCTGAAAGAAGTGAAATAGCAAAGGCTTCATGTAGTAATATGAAAATTCTCATCAGGTATTCAGATAACTAACCCTCATTTCAGAAATTCACCTGTAGCCAAAGTTTTCTGAATTCCTTCTATTTAATGATAACAACAAATCACTCATTCACCCCAACCTACAGCCACTCCAGCAGCAGAGAACCAGCTGTACAGTACACAAAGACCAGCAGGGCAGGAAAAGGCTGCCTTAAATCCCAGTATGAGGAACTGACTGAAAGAGCTGCTACAAATTCTGAAGTGCCAATCAGTGGATTAGGAACCCATCAGGAGCCACTTAGGAATAGTCTTCAGCCACAGACAGTGACTCATGCCATAAAATCAGGAGATTATAATATCCAACACACAGCATCAGTATGGAGCAGTCAGCTCCATGGTCTCTTTGGTCAGCTTCATGGTTTGAATGATCCTCTGAAATCAGCCCATTTGCTGATGAGATGTTATACCAGGACATTTTGCCAGCAGGAAAACATGTCAGTAATTTCTACGATGTGATTTACTAATCAACAAAATTAGGGATATCATACCTGGTTTTGATCGCTGTAGTCGCAGTCCCGAACCACTACCAGGCCTCCTTTCTGACTTGGGTGGCCCTGAGCGACCAGACATTTGTTGGTTTGAAGGTGATAGAGCTATGAAAGGAAAACAGGTTGATGGACAGAGTAAACAACAAGCATCACATACCAAAGGGAACACATGGTAATGCTTTGGAAGCCCTAGTGTGCTAAATAACCCCAGTCAGCCCTTCCAATAAAGGAAAAAAAATCTTCCCTTTTAAAATACAATTCTGTTTTTCAGATAATTTGGAAAAAACCCAGCATTAAACAGTTCCAATTTGCTTTCTAATTACATCAAGATTTCCCTCTATGTTATAAGTGTAGTACACACAACCTGGCTCAGCACATGTTGGTTGCATTCTGTCAAGTTTCTTTGCCTTCTTCACTCTCCATGAAAGTCCCATGTCCCAGACACTCACTAGCTCTGAAATACTGTACTGTATAAAGTGCATTTTACTACAGTTGAACTTAAACATAAGTCTCTTCCTACAGCTCAGACACTCACTAGCTCTGAAATACTGTACTGTATAAAGTGCATTTTACTACAGTTGAACTTAAACGTAAGTCTCCTCCTACAGCCTCTCTTCATGAACCTCTTGGAGAAAGAAGAATAATTTACTTCAGAGATTTATGTTGCTTGCAAATTGATTTTCATTTAGACAACTGCAATGCCACAGTTTCCAGCTATGGTATTTTAATGACAGATTAGGGAAGAAGAAAACCTTTGTGTTTTACACACACCCAAATGCTCACTTTAGCTCAAATATTCTACCCAGTCCAATTTACAAGAATTCTGCAGCAGAGGCCTAGATACATGTCAGGAGCCTGTCCTGGGATGCAGAACTGTAAGCATCTACCATCAGAGCAAACAAGAAGCTCTCAGGAAGTTAGCAATCTCTCCTGGTTTGGGCAATGATGCTCACCCTAAAAGCCACACAAGGTATATTCTGCAGTCTGAAGATTAGGTTATCCTATTCCAAACAGTCTAAAATGATTAAGATCTTGATGTATCCCCACAGAGGTACTCTGGGAGACAAACCACTTGGAATTCTGCCTGTAAATTGTACACATGCTGTGAACTAATTGGTGGCCAGCAGACGACTTCTTTTCAGCCTGATTAATTTTCTTCTCCTGATGTGGTGGGGATCAGGCAGCAATCACTGCTTGCACATCACAAACTGGGAGATGGCAGGGCCCCAGATCTGGCACCCACGTTAAAAATAATTCTTTCCAATCTGGAGCTGAATGTAGAGGAGAAAAGAATTTGCTGCCCTGAACTCAAGGCCAGGCTGATTAACCAGCTGGCTGCATTTTGTTATGAAGATATAGACAGCCATCTTGGCATTTCTATGGACTCTACAGATTTTTAGAAACCCAAAGACAGTTCCAGTAATAAAAAGAACAAACTGCTCAGTCACATGATAGCACAAATTAGCACAAATACCAAATAATATTCTTCACTAAACACCATTTCTGGAAAGAGCTGTCCCAAGGCACATCAACACTTGCCA